ACATTGACAATTTCCGGTAACGTCTGAGCCTGTGTTGCTCTAGCCTCTTGCTTCTGGTGGGCGTCGTTGACGTAATCGCGCGCGATGTGCGCAAACTCAGAGATGAGAGAGCCAGGCAAGTAGCCCTGGCTGCGGTATTCTATGCGGCTGAAATGACCTCCAGCCATGTCGAGCAAGGCCAGGTGGGATGGCGTGTTGACGTGGAGCGGACTGTGAATGACGAAATCAAAGACCACGAAGAGCCCTATGATGGGTATACCTGCGAGGATCCTGCATGGTGACAAGAGTCGACGTCGTCAGCATGCGTGCATTGTAGTCATATCTGCACATTTCCCCAAACAGGAGGCAAGTCTCACCATATACTAGTGTGAGAATCGACGTTGACCAAGACGGTTCTCTCAAGGACGGAACGCGAAGCACTGAGAACGGCTTCCATGGTGGCCTTCTGCTGTGCGGCGATGAGAGGGTCGTCTGCCCTGGACAACCGAGACAACCGGTGCAGCGTGGCCCGGGCCAAGGTGAGTTGCAGACCATCGTGGTAGTAGTGAATCATGACTGCTGCCTCTCTTTCAACGCCGCAGTGTATGCTCGAGGGCGGTTTAAGTCCGCCAGGCCGAAACCCGGTGTCGGGTATCGACATGCGCCAGTCGTTGTGCTTCTGATTGAGTTGATCAATGATGTCCATGTAATACGCGTTTGGTTTGTTGGCAACGGCCACCGAAAAGAGTGAGGAGTATGTTTGTGATATGATTCGAGCATGGCGTATAATGGATAAAAACCAGTCAAAGTCGCCAAAGACTGATTCGGGAACATGAGGGATGGGACACGATATGTCGCCGTCGATAAAAGCCTGCAGAAGTCAGGACTGCGATCGGGAAACACCACAGAACTGTGGCCGGGACAATAACAAACTCACCGAGCTTCTTCCAAAATAGAAGCTAGATGTCTTCTCAATGGCATACAGACACCAGAAGGTTCTCTGGTACGCTTTTGCCCTCGGACCCGAGAAATTACTGGTTGATAGGTTTTGTGCCCGCCTCGCAGCCTCCGACGTGATGACATGCTCCATCATCACGCACGAGATACCCGAGCATTGAATGGCCATGGCAGCCATGGCTTGTAGAACTAGGAGAGAGTCCGGCTGAAGCATAAGATCGGGCAGCAGGCTCAGCGCAACGAAGAACAAGTTCCAAGCGTCTCCGACGCCGGGCTCAAAACTGCCCCCACCATCGCATTGGCATCCCATTGCTAGAACTGAGTGATACAAGCATGACCAAGCCCTGCTCTGGTTGACAATCTCGAAGAAGTCTGGGTTTGCGAAAGTTCGCTCGAATGCTTCACGGTCGAGGAATGGGTACAGGGGATGGACACATTCAAAATAAACTATCACATGTCAGCGTGTTTGTCTTGCCCGCCTTGGGGTATGGGGCAAGTATACGCCGAATGTACTTCGTAGCAGCGGCTCTGTTTGTGAATGGTTTAAAAGGCTGTTTGTGCCTGGCAAGCCAAGCATTGGGAGCCGGAGGTGGGCGGTGCATTTTCGTCTGTATGATGCCCGATATCCGACCTACCAGCTCATTGACTTTGTTGTTCCGCAAACACGAAGCAAGAGACTGCAGTCTGGTTTCGGAAAAGAATGTAAGAGAGAGATCGCCGGCTGGCGGCAATAGTTGTTAGTCGACCGTAAACTGGGCAAATGCTCGAGATGAGCTTTGGCACGAGCTTACCAAAAATGCTATTTCCCTTCGAGACGTTAGTAACCTTGGGGGGCTTCGGTGCATGAAACGTACCCTTATGAATGGTGGAGTCTCATCCTCTGCTTCGGATGGACTGGTCTTGCTGGAGCGGGTGAGCAAGCTGTCAACGTGCAAAACGGGCAGTTGATGCTTGTTGCCTTCTGAAGAGGGAGTCTTTGACACCGAATCTTCTGAGAAGAAATCCGGCTGCAGGGATGATACAGCAGCCGGGATCGGCTCATCGTTGTCGATTCCTGGTGTGCTTGATTTTGGCTTTGGTGTTGGCTTTGGGGACAAGAATTGCTCCGACACTATCTGTGGTGAGCCGATAGTGAAGCAACAGTGGCAGGCTGCACAAGGCAAGGTGATGGTCCGCATACCATTTTTCCGCCGAGCAAGCTTCTTCGAGCTGAAATGACAGGGTTTATTCCGTCGCTGTATTGAGTAGCATTTGTGAGCAGACGTACATTAAACTACCGACGGAGGGATCGGAAACCTGGGTTCACACGTACAACGCAGGTCGCGCAAGGTCCGAAATCCGGCTTGGCTGGGCCTGTGCTGGAGTTAACAAGGCCATGGTTCACCACGAGGAAGCTCCGCCCATGATGGGGATAGTGTATACCGGGACATCGGACTTTGCGTATACGGCACGCATCGCATGATTTGTGGTTTTCCTTTCCGAAGCCGAGGGTGACCGTCTGTCTCGGCGTCATCTGGTTGGACTCGGCGTCGGTCTGTGAGGCCATCCTGTTGACCAGGAGGACGTTCTAAGAGGAAACCCCAATGAATCAGTCTGGCGTTCACCAGTCTTGAGATATTGACAGGATGATTATCAGGTTGTTGGAAGAGAAACGCTTGAGTTCGCGACGGTCGATGTGAAGATCAATGTGTTGAGTTGAGTGAGCTTGGGCCTTACACGCAAAACCTCGGGCCCGACATGCCCGATCTGGTAATGCCTGCCACTAAACTTGCCGAGAGGTTGCGCCATCATGAAGGCTGAACTCCTGAGGCTGCCAACTTTAGCCTCATATTTTCTTACAGAGACAGTCTTCAGGCCATGACGTTAAGAAATTCCAATCTTTTCCCTCGCGTCATGGTCATCCATCAACTTGGAGATTCGACTGTAGGTGGCGATACGAGCTCAGGTTAACAATGTGATGTGGAACTGTTCACCATTGTCTCACGCTTCAGAGGCGAGCAAGTTGTGTTCTGGAGAGTGAAACGCGAGACTCCGGATTATATCCAAAGCGGCACAATGCTTTCTTCTTGCTTTCCCTCGTGGCCTAGCCTGACGTCGACGGCGACTGCCATTTCAGTGGAAGATTTTGGAGGGGCAAAGACAGTGCGGCGCATTGTCCGTACACAGTCTCCACCAGGTGTGACAGCAGCCCAACCAGAAAGGCCATCTGCCATGTGAGGAGCTCGCTATGATTTGTGCAGAACCCACACGACTGCTCCGGCGTGACTCTTCCTGAACAACAGTTCCAAGCAAACCTAGGTTTTGAGGACGCGACATTTTCTGACGACAAGTCACCAGCGTTGACATCCTGCCGACTGGTCTCATCACATTGTCAGACAATCTACCATCGACGACCGCAACCATGGCCGGGAAGAAGGGCGCCGAGAACAGCAAGAAGGTTGCGGGCAACGCCCGTAAAGCCGAAGCCGCCGCAGCCAAGGATGCTGCCAGCAACGCGAAGAAGGCTGCCATCGAGGATGCCGAATGGGCAAAGGGCGGCAAGGATAGCTCCAAGAAGTAAGCAGAACCCCTAAGGGTCCCTGGTAATGCCCCAGGGACCAGGTCGCCATGGTGACCGCCACAACGGCTCGCCCAAAGCCCCGCTCGAGCCGTGACCGAGTGGGTAGTGGTGACGAGCTCTGTTACCTTTGATGCCACCAGGCGCTGATGCTCGTGAACCGTACAGGGAAGCCGAAGCAGCGAAGAAGGCCGAGGCTGCACGAAAGAAGGCCGAGCGCGAGGCGGCACTGAAGGAGGAGGAGGCCAACACCCCCGGCCGCAACACACCCAAGAATAACAAGACGGCCACGAAGAAGACGCGCGGGCTGGATCTCTCGCAGCTCGACGGCGACAGCAGCAGCAGCAAGGCCGCAACGCTCAACGCTTCGGGCATCGACAATGCGCTTGACGCCCTGTCGCTTACGGGCAAGGCCGACAGCGGCAAGATTGACAAGCACCCGGAGAGGCGCTTCAAGGCTGCGTACGCCGCATTCGAGGAGCGGAGGCTGCAGGAGATGGAGAGCGACGGCAGCGGCCAGGGCTTGCGACTCAATCAGAAGAAGGACAAGGTGCGCAAGGAGTTTGAGAAGAGCCCCGAGAACCCCTTCAACCAGGTCACGGCGCGGTTCGACGCAACCAAGGAAGAGATCGCCGAGATCAAGAAGAACGAGAGGACCAAGATCGAGAACCGCCTGGGCGCGTAAAGCGAGAACAGGATCCAGCACGGCTTGCCACTGGAGGCAAAAGAGAAGGGGGGGGAGAGAGGGGTCCTGATCCTTTGGAAGTATGGCGTTCTTGATGGGCTAGAAGCGGCATGTTGCAGCCCTCGTGAGTAGCTGTGGTTCAGGAGCGAGGCGTGCCGGACGAAAAGGAGATGCCGGATTTATCTCGTAGCCCTAAAACACATATCATCGCCTGACTGGGCCAGTCAAGTCCATGGATCAGCGGAATGCAACTTGACGAATACGGAGGCTGACTTTAACGAGATGAAACGCTCAATCACCAATGATCTGCCTTGGGATTCCCCATGTTCACATTTGAGGCAAGTAGTTCACGGAGGTCACACTTGCGACAGGTCACTTCGATAGTGTACCAGTTGATGACCACATGAAGAAATCCTGGTATTCAGCGGTACTTGTCCGTCAAGTACCATTACCCCGGTGTTTGACTGCTTGCTCCGCCCAGGGTCACTCGGATCCGAGCTCACCTCACCAGGGGGTGGAGGTTGCCAGGACTCGTCAGGCCAGACTACCCCGCCTCTCGAAAGCATGCACTGTGCACAACCCCGCCACGTCATTTTGAATTGTGATAGCGATAACACGGGCGGCAGAAACTCACCGCCAGGTTTCACCGCCCATACATTACATTCCCTGGGGTCAGGTACCTGGAGCCTACAGACCTGATCTCAGGTGATGTGTCTAAACTGCAGCCAACTACACTTCTCTTATCGTGTTCCTTTGAACCCCCTCGTGCTTTGATACGACAAGCGATGTGAGAGCCTCATTGATGTCTCGAAACTTGAAAACATGCCATCGATCAATCTCAGCGGCATGCCGTCGCTAAGACGGCAACACCTTCTGGCTGAATTGTAGGTGTGCTCTCTCGAATTGAGACGAGCCCCTGAAGAAAGCTTGAGGCTAACCTCACACCAGCTCCGGCCTCAAGCAGGCATGTCCGGAAGGCATCTTTGTCAGTCTCACACCGGGCGAAGTCACATTATGGTCTGGTGCCATGTTCATCAGGAGAGGTGCGCCATCGATGCTATTTCCTGAGTCCCCAGACAGCCACGTCTGACCACGTACCAGGGCCCTATGAAAACGCCATCCTACGATTTCAGATCTCTTTCCCAGACACCTATCCACGCCTGCCGCCCCTTGTCACATTTTCCTCAGACATGTTCCATCCACTCATTGCTCCTCTCACCACCTACATGTACACAACCGACATTCAGGACAATGGCACCGTCAGTGCCACTGACGACGAACGTCTCCCGCCCGGGGGCTTCTCGCTCCGCCACGGCTTTCCCGGCTGGTTCGGGAGGAGGGGCCGTAGCAACACCACCAGCGCCAGACAGGTCAGCGGCGGGCAGCAACCTCCAGCCACGCCGGCCAAGGGTGGCAGCAGCAGCGCCATTACAACCCCAGACTCAAGAGCTACCGCAGGCCCCACTACTGCGAGCGGCAGCAGCATATCAACCTACGAGGTCCTGCAGTACATTCGCAGCACGTTCGACGATGAAGCCGTGCTTGACTCAGTACCGCTGGAGGCTGCGGGGAACCCTGGAGCCTGGCACGCGTGGCGTACTCGTCAGCGGCAGAGGGGAAAGCTGAGCGACAGCGCCGCTCCCCCTGCCAATGCTTCTGTGCCCAAGGTAGACAGCGAAAACACAGAGGCCGAGCCTGAAGCAGAAGGGTGTGAGAAGGCTGACGAAAAGGAGGAACCGCCGGCCAAGGAAGGAGTAGAGGTCGCTGCTGCAACTGTGCCGCCATCAGCACCGACCATGTCATCGAGAGATCCGGGGCAGTGGAACTGGGCTGGCGTTTGGGAGGACAGGGTTAAGAAAGGAATCGCTGCTTCGCTTTCTGAGCCGGTCTTGTACGGCGGAGCAGCTGCCGGAGATGATTTAGTAAGTGTCGACGCTCCACGAGAAATTGCAGACAAGAGCGCTAACGTGCTTTCCAGATTCACTTTCTGTCGATGGAAGAGAATGACGTTGGCGTCGTCAAGGACAACTTGCTGCGCACCTTGGGAAGCACTGCCTGAAATTCCAATACCCGCCCTCCGGGCAGCACCTACTTGTACTTGAATCACTACCTACCTAGGCAATGAACTTTGCGATTTCTCTGTCTGGGGTCGGCAACACGATTTGAACGTCATGCTAACATCCGAAATATTGACAACACAAGCTCAGAGCAGCCTTCCTGACATTTGAGCAGGCCCCGGTACACGTTTTCATCTTTCTTAAGGACAGCAATTAGGCAAAGCAAGCATGGAAGGTAATGATCTCGACCCTACTTCCATCTCGAATGAGCCGGCGCCGCTTCGAGTGATCAAGCGCCAGTCAAGACGGATTCGAGGAAGCGATTCTACCAGCGAGTATGGCAGCATGCGCTCCCGTCGAACCAGCGGGCAGACTGAGGAGAGCACTGGAAGCGCTCCGGGGCTATCGGGCTGGGATCGTCCTTTGACCGTGAGGAAGAAGCGACAATCCGTTTTCTCGCCGTCCTACTCGCCGAGCCCTTCAATCCAAGCTCTTCGGCCAGAGCGTTCTTACATGATGCTTCCGCGCATGAGGGAACGAAACTCTTCCAATATTCATTCCAACGGCGACACGCCAAGTCTGAAGTACCCCTCGCCCATCAAAGAGATGCCGGATTCAGTGCTCCCCGATAGGATGGACGGATATCGTTCCCCAGCGCTGCATTCTTCCTACGACAAACATGGAAGTGTTTCGCAATCTCCATATCCCATGGACTATAGCAATGCGTATCATGCGCCCATCTATCAGGATGCTTATGTGCTCGTGCCGCATATATCGATAACACCCGAGGCTCGAACTTGGGATAACAGCGGTGACGTGCTGTGGACTGCGATCGAGATCACCGGCCAAGTTCGCCAGTCGTCGAACTCGCAGCCTGCATTTTCGCAACATGCGGGCTGCGAAGGTATTGCCATCCCAGGTAGGTACCACTATCTCGTGTTCAATGCCTAGCATGGATATCTCACGCAAGTAGATCCCTTCCGTTACGGCCTACTATTCGATATTCGCATCAACATACAGCCGCTTATCGGAGCATTCATCATTGAGCTTTTACAAGACGACCCCATACCAACGCACGTCACCCTTCTCTGATAGCAAATCCTAGTAGATGAGCTAATGCTCTCCTGTAGAACACTTTACGCTGGCTCAACTATTCTCATTCTTGCCCACATTCGCCTCAAGTCACAGCCCGCGAGCATAGTGTCTTCAATATCTGCTTCTCGCCAGCAATCAGACGACCTCATGGATGACCTCGAGTTTCACCTCGACAGCTCCGTGAGGGACCACCTCTCAATCAGTCTCACGTACGCCCATACGGCTTTCCCCCAACACTCTCGCTTGTCAGCATCGTTTGACAGAACCGGCATCACATCTGTTCACACCCGCATGGGAACCACGGCAACCGCTTCGCTGAAGCGCCATGCCCATCGCTCGTCGTGGAGTTCGCACCCGGTTCTGACCCCAAACCCCCTCTTCAACATTATCACGGCCAACTGGCCGCCAGACCGCGCCGCCAATGCCATTAATCGCATGCTCACTTGCCGTGCAGCGATACAGTGCTCCGACCCTCATAGACAGTGCAGCTTCCAAAATGGGTGTCTTCCTGACGGTAGTCACAGCCCGAGCCCACCGGCCGAGTTGTGTAACGGACGAAAGACGGCACCGCCTGGCCAGATGCGGATTCCACGTCGCGAAACCAGCTTGACGAAGAACGCGCCGGGCGGACGGCCGGAGCAGACGCGAGTCTTGTGGCCCAATGTGCGCAGGCCGTCCAGGGAGGACACTGATGGTGGTGCGCAGTTGGCCGGCGGGGAACAGGACTCGTCGTCGGCCGATGCGGCGTGGCCTTCGGATCTGACTCTTCGAAATCGGGCGTCGATGGCTGGGAATACTGTTGCGACAAGCTCACCAAGTGCGGTTTTGGCTTCAGCTCCGTCTGCGGGAGGTTATACGGAGAACCAGAGTTGTCGGGAGTCAGCGAAGGGCGTGAAGGCCCGCAAAGGAGGGCAGACGCTGGCGAGAAGGGGCAGTGAGAGAGGGAGGAATGACGGTGGGCGGTGGAACTGGTCGAACTGGTGGTGATGTCTACAGTGCTCAAGCAAGGTACGCCTGGTGCCTTGGCAGGTTTGCGAACGAGTATAGCCACTTCTCATAGGACATGCCTTTGGATGAGAGACTTCATCAATACATGAATTGAATGGATAATCTTGTGTCATGTTTGCCTTGAGCCTGACTACCTGGCGCCGATGGGTGCTCGTAAGCGGAATCCCTGCCTCTTTTTTTCGATCAACCTGGAAATACCACTCCTGGCCATCCATCATGGCTATGACCCAAATCTAAAGTTCACTCTTGATTCTCGTTTCCTCGCTTGATTGTTTTCCTCCTGAATATTTTTGTATAAACAACGTCAACGGGCAGCCGCACTTTATTAGAGCACCTCATCCCTCCAGGGGATGGAGTCTTGCGCGCCCTTCCTCTCGACCGTCTTGGCCGCGGCGTGGTTGGCGCTGCGAATGGCTTGCTCAATGTCAAAGGGCGCGCCCTCCTTGGCGGCGCGCACGACGTCGACGCAGTAGGAGCCGACAAAGGTGTCGCCGGCGGCGGTGGTGTCGACGACTGTGGCCTTCTCGGCGGGGACGAGGGCGTGGCTGCCGGTGGCGTTGGCGTAGAAGACACCGCGGCCACCGAGGGTGATGATGACGTTCTTGACCTTCTGGTCAAGGAACCACTTGGCGACGCGGTTGCAGCCTTCGGGGGTGTCGAGCTCCGACTCGGGGAGGCGGGAGAGGATGGACGCCTCGGTTTCGTTGACGACGAGGTGGGCGAGGCCGTCGTAGGCTTCGGCGGGGAGGGGTTGGGCCGGGGCCGGGTTGAGGAGGACAGGGACGCCAGCCGTCTTGGCGGTCTGGAGGGCAGCGAGGACTGTAGGCAGAGGGATCTCGAGCTGCATCACGAGCAGGTCCGGGGGCGTGGTCTGGGGGAGGGCGGAGAGGGAGGTGATGGCGGGGGCGTGGTTGGCGCCGGGGGAGAGAATAATGCGGTTCTGGCCCGTGGGCTCGTCGACGATGATGATGGCCGTACCGGTGGCGGCAGTGTCTTTCGTGATCTGAGACGTGTCGATGCCGTGGGCGGCAAGGTTTGAGAGAAGGAGGGAACCGTGGGAGTCGTCACCAACAGCGCCAGCCATGGACACGATGGCGGCGGTGGACTCCGAGTTGGTGGCGTGATCGCGAGCCCGCGAGAGCTTCGCACAGGCGACGGCCTGGTTGGCGCCCTTTCCGCCGGGCGAAACAGCAAAGGCGTTGGAGGTCAATGTCTCGCCGGGAAGAGGGTGATGGGGCACATAGGAGGTGAGGTCGATGTTGAGGGAACCGAGAACGGTAATCTTGGGCAAGGTTGAGGACGCCATGGCGGAAGTTTTGGGGGAGGGGGGGGCGAGTATCCGCTGGAGCGAGGTATTGTGATCAGGTTTCGCAAGTATGTGAGAGGTTGGCAAGAAGAGCGAAGAAAGAGGAGAGAAAACGAGACCGAGAGAAAGTCGCAATAATGGTCGTGCAGAGCTGCCGGAGTTGGAAGAAAAATTATGAATTGGGCCGTCCAAGGTGCAAGGCGGAGGACGGAGGGGTCCGGTGACGATGAGGGAGGGGCAGTAGCAAGTCAGGTACCGGGAAGCGGCGTTAGTGCAATTGCACTGCGGGGTTCGAGCTTGAGCTGTTCCTGCCGGCAACCTGCCTCCTGCCCTACCTGTTCAGGGTGCCCACCTCCTACCTGCCTTGACTGCCTACCTCGGGCAGGCGCGTCTGGCTTGCCCAAGGTAAGGCAAGGCAGGGACGACCCTGAAGGCGTAGCAGCGACCAACAGATGGCTCGATTGGCGATCGGGTCTTGGAAGATCTTTAGAAGAAGAGAAGGCTGCTGGCTGATTGCCAAGGCTACGCTTTTGACATGACATTTCCACCGATGCACAGCTCCGAGCCAGGAGAAGCCTCCCTCCCTACTGCTGAGGTCCGAGCCTTCCGCACAGCACTACATCCTCTCCAAAAGGATGCCATGAGACGTGAGACAGTCTCGCCGCCGAAATGGCAGTGCCATTCTGCTCGACGCGCTCAGGAGAGACTACTACACCTCCCTGGCCCAACCACGTCGGCGCGATGGTTACAATGACAGAGTCGACCAAATCGTGACTGGTAGGTGCTAACAGCGAGTTGATGACCTGGCCGCCGCCCTCAATCATGACGCTGCCTAGGCCCTCGCGGTGTAGCGCCGCCAGGATGTCCCGCCACGCGAACCGACCGCTGCCCGCCGCGTCCATCTGCACCGTAATGAACTTGCCGCCGTGCTGCTCGAGCAACCCCCGTCTCGCAGGGTCGACATCCCATCTGGAGGTGATGACGTACGGCGCGAGTCCCAGGCCCGCCCGCGCGACCTCGAGCACCTTGCTCCGCGCTGACACCTCCCACCGGCAGCTCGGGTCGATAATGATAGGACGCGGCTGCTTCTTGAGGCCGACGCCCTCGATGCGGCAGTTGAGCGCCGGGTCATCGGCGACGACGGTGCCGACACCCACGCAGATGGCATCGTGGCGGCTGCGCAGGTAGTGCGTCATGGCTTTGGACTCGGACCCTGAAAGCCGCGTGCGCGTGCCCGGTGCCAGCGACAGCGACGAGTCGAGTGACGTGGCAAAGGTGAGCGTCACGAAGGGCCGTGATTCTGATGTCGCTAGTGCGATTGCCTGCTTCGAGGGCAGCTGTGCTTCGAGCTTAGCCGCATCGGCAGCCGGGAACCGTAGGCGTTCAGCCATGGTGAGGGACAGGATCAAAGTGGAAGAACAGGTCGCCGGGTGAATATTGTAGTCGACGCAGGTTCGCGGCTGGGTAAAGGCAGGAGGACACCATGCAGCACGAAGGACGACCCTGTGTCAAGCAAGACCCTGCAGAGTGCCACATGGTGGGGGCGCAGATCACAGTCCCAGCCCAGCGCCAATGGATGTTACATTCGCTAATGTGAGGCAGATAAATCACCTGAAGTACCTTACGCAAGTACGGTACAATCGTCGAACCCAGAGGCCTTGATCTGTAGTGGTGCAGCCTGTCTTTTTTTTTTTTTACAGATGGTATAGAGCTGAGATACCCCTCAGCAGGTACCTCATGGCCCTGGCCTTAATCTCAGATGTACCACCAACGTCGCATGATCAAAGCAGCGCTGGAGCGGCTGAAGACGACATGCATATAATCAGGGCGAGCCGCGATGACTTGGTCTTAACGCAGAATCGCAGAGTGTGCATTCCCTTCGCACTCTTTTCTGCGCTTGCCAATCTGGCACTTTCTTCGTAGCTCAGAGATCTGAATATGGATGTATTCGGCACTGTGGTCAACGTCACCACGCTGGTCGGCCAGATCGTCATCATCTACCGTCATGTCGCCGCAATGCAGTCCTTTGGCGATGCCGCCGGTATGTCCTCGGCCAGGTCCAGGCTGCCTCTGTGTCTTTCGCAATGCGGCTCTGTACGTTTACCCGGCAGTCACTGACGTCTTGCAGAAGGTGTTGCTGCGAAGATTTCCTTCGAATATTTTCGCTTTGAGACCTGGGCTGAGCAAAGCGGTTATCTTGAAATAGAGGACAGAGATGGTCTGACAAGCGAAGCGGCTCGGTCGGCTCAGTCCACCACAGGCTCACATTACCTGCTTCAGACAGCAGCCAAGGCTCACGAGATTGTGGCACAAATTCAGAACGTCTTGGCTGCGACTAGGCTATTATTGGAGAAGAATCAAATCGCAGACAAGCTCACCGATGCGACAGGCAGCACCAGTTTGCAGCCGGACCTCTTAGCAACGCAGTCGTCTATCATCGCAAAGACCACAGCACGCCAGCAGTTCCTCTCGCTTCCTTCGTCAGTGAGCTCCATGCCCGCCATTGAACGAGCCACTGCCGCGTCGAGCAAGCTGAAGTTGCGTCTGGGCAAGGAGACGGGGAGGCTCCGAAAGCTGCGCTTCAGTTGGGGGTTGTTTGGCGAGGATAGCGACATGGCCAAACTCGAAGACCTGGTTCAACAACTGAGATACTGGAATGATGGCCTGCGTGATATCTTGCCTATACAGCACCAGCTGTCCCATGGCATGATGACACAGGTCAGGGTTTTGGGTCATACAAATAACCACCAAGCGCTTGAACGTGTTGGGAACGCATCGCGAAGCATCAGCGGCACAGTGTACCAAGATATATACGCTTCCTGTAACATGAAGAAAGACAAGCTCAACACAGAATCGCAATTCGACAGTCACATCAAGGCGGACACCGGGCCGTTGGATGTAACAAGGTTGCCGCAGCTCAGTGGAAGCAGTTCAGCCAGCATTGAGTATCGCCTCACGAGCCTTCATTCCGGTGGGTTACTTGAATGGAATTTAACAGGATATATTCAATATGCTAACAGCCTCTCTTTATTCAGGTCAAGGAATGGAGTCCGAGGCCACACGAGTGGTTGTTGAGATTGTCGACTTCAGCGCCATCTCGCACCAAGATTCACTCGAGATCCTCAACGCCCGGATCGGTCGCCTCAGCCATCTTCTTAGGGCCGCCGCACGTCCAAGCAATTTACACTTGCCTACGTGCGAGGGGTATGTCCGCGCCAGCGCCTCGAAATTCTTCATTCTCTACCGACCTCCCGAACAAGCAGATCTGTTCAAACAGCCCAGAACTTTACTCTGCCTACTTCCTCGCCATCCAAACGCGCCAAAGCGGCCTCCCAAAATGCCGATCTTACCTTCGCTCGAAGAGAGATACTCCCTTGCCAAGCAACTGGCAGAGGGTCTTCTCAGGCTCCACAGCATCAGCTGGTTGCATAAGTGCTTCAACAGTAACAATGTTCTGTTTTTCCATAATCCGGACGGCCTGAAAATCTCTCATCCCGTCCTTGTAGGATTTGGTCTGGGCCGAACGTCAGACAAAACTTCCGAAACCATCGACGTCCGCCAGCTTGGCAGTCATTTTGATCTCTACCAACACCCGGAACTCCGTGCTAACGCACACAAGCGGTACAAGAAACGCCATGACATTTACTCCCTAGGTCTCGTTTTGTTCGAGATTGGCATATGGCAGAGCATATTCTACTTCAAGAAGGACAATCAAGACGCACAAGACTTCAGGAGGACCATCAGAAATGCCTGCGAGAGTCACCTGGCACACTTTATGGGCAAGGCGTATCAGCGAGCCGTGTTGCAGTGTTTGGACGAAGACGACATGTGGAAGGAGGCAGAGGGCGATGATGATGATGATTCTTCCGGAACACATGAGGTCTTCTTCTGGAAGGTTGTGCGAGAATTAGGGGGCGTACAGTAGATAATGTAATAAGTTGTCATTTGTGCGAGACAAAACACGTATTCTTATGGTTTCTTAGCCTTTGAAACTCCTTCTCCTGCACCTGTTTCTATGAGCGCTTCGACGAGAGCGCTGTTGTCCGCCTTCTTAGCTCTGTCTAGAGGAGTCCGCCCACCAACGAATGCCACGTCATGTATACCCTTCAAAGACGCAAGAATCCTGGTCGACTCAACACATTCGGCCTCAATAGCCAGCAGTAGAATCCGGGAGGCAAGATTGAGGTCCTGTAGCATCTCGACGTCGAGAAGAGCCTCGATGACATTTGATAGTACATAATCTTCGGGCTTTGAAGAAGCTTCTGCCAGCAAAGATAGCAAGTCCTCCGAATCAAGATCTCGTAAACCTACCCGAGTCGTTTCCAGAAACTTGAGGATATCTGTGCTTCCACCCTGGCATATCAGGCGCCACAGTGTAACCTGGTTCGCGTCATGAACGAGCCACTCTTCGAACTTGGGGAACAGAAACTCAAACAGCTCCGTCTTCCCAGCCAATGCTGCCGTGCACAGCGCGTTGTATCCGTCCGAAGACGATGCCGAAACGTCCGCGCCGTGATGTAGTAGCATCGCGGCGATGGACTTGCTTGATGCCAGCAAAAGCGCCGTCTTCCCACGAGCCTGAACAGCATCAATGTCGCACCTCCCGGTTTCCAGGAGCTTCCGCACGATGTCTTCAGACGTCTGGACCGCGACGTGCAAGGCATTGGTCATGCTGAGAGACATGGTTGACGGCGACGCCCCGGCGTCGAGCAAGGCCTGCGCGACGGTGACGTGTTTTTCACTGCAAGCCAGATGCAGCGGAGTGATGCCGTAATCGTTCTTGGCGCGTACGCTTGCGCCCTGCCTCAGCAGCTCTCTTACTGCCGCCTCGTGGCCTTTGGAGGAGGCCCAGTGGAGCGGCGTGTTCCCGTTGCGGTCCTGGTTCTCGGTGCTGATGACTCCGCGGAGCTCCCTGATGATCTCGGGGCGTCCCTGCAGCGCGGCCAGGTGAAGAGGGGTCTGGCCGTACTGGGTCCTATTGTGTAGCGAGAAACCGCCTTCGGCTAACATATTGAAGATTTTAACGTTGCCTACCTCGGCGGCGAGGTGTATAGGAGTCACACGGCTGACCTCATTTGCCAAGCTCCTGTCCTCGCATTGCTCCAGGAACGCCTCGACGCAGTCTACGTATTCTTTGCGAGTTACTTCCAAGAGGAACTCCAGTTTGTCCTTCGAGTTGAGCTTGTCGATCGATTGACCGAGCTTCACCAGCTCCCTCGTAAGAGCGGCGTTGTTTGTCCCCACAACCATCTCTAGGATCTCGCAATCCTGTTGAACCCCAGACAGCTTCGCGCCATAAGAGACGAGAATGCTAACAATCTCGGCGCTGCCGCGACTGATGGCTTCTCTGAGGCGACTGGTGGTAACCTCGGCTCCACGAGAGCAAAGAAGTTGGACGCTTTCGACATGTCGTCCCTGGATGGCAGCCTTCAGGCTCGTCGCTTCGTAAACGTCGCTGGCGTGTATGTCTGCTCCTTGGTCCAGAAGCCAGGATATGACATCTGTGTGACCGCCGAGGGCAGCACGGAGGAGAGGTGTCGTTCCATCCTCTGATGCTGCGAATATGTCACAACCCCCGGCACGCAGCACCTTCAACGTCTCGAGGTGTCCGTTGCCGGCAGAGTGCATTGCGGCCGTGGCGCCCGCCTCATCTAGAGTGTTTGGGTCCATCCCGAGGTCGAAAAGAAGCTGCAGAATCTCTGGGCTCTCATCCTGTGCTGTTATGTGAACTAAATCTCGCCGAAGCCTCCTCTGGCGGAGGACGATGTCTGTGGTGGCGCCAGCATCGAGTAGAACCTTGACCACCTCTAGTTTCTGGCCTTGAATTGCCGCGAAGAGCGGCGTGCCGCCGCCCATTGAATCTTTCACGTTCACTTCGGCGCCAGCATCAAGTAGGTCCTTGGCGATGTTGACATGTCCAAAGGACGCGGCGAGATGCAGTGGCGTGGCGCCGTTGTGGTCAATCGCATCGTTGGGGCTCACGCCGTGGTCGAGCAGATACCGAGCTGCCTTTTCGTCGCCTTGGTATGCGGATACCAGCAGGAAGTTGCCTGCGCGAGTCTCATCTTCCAGCAAAAAGTCGATAGAGTCCTCGAAGACATCCGTGATTTCAGCTAGATCATCATATTGCAAGGCTTTCCTGAAGCCCGCCCAGATAGTGCCAGACGAAGAGGCCCCGACAAGATACGCAGCTGTCACGACGCTGCCAAAGGCTACTGCCACGTCCAAACCCGTCTGTTGTTCGTTGGACTTGACTTCGGGGGACGCACCGGCCGTCACAAGCATCATGGCAACGCTCACGGAGTCTGACTTGGCCGCCTCATGCAGGGCGGTCTCCCCTTTGGAATTCTTGGAGTGCGGGCTTGATCCGGCTTGTAAGAGGAATGCAACGATATCATCGTGGCCGTGTCTTGAGGCGACATGTAAAGCTGTGTTGCCATCTTTGTCTCGTCGTAGCTCCCTTCGGCGTGGGTCGATCCAGTCTTTGACGATGTCGATATCTCCATTGGCTGCAGCCTCAAAAATCGTCGCGAAGAAACTGAATTGTGACATTTTCAAGAGTGAATCGCGTTGCTCAGGGATTCAATGGAGTGAGCCGTTTCACAGAAAGAACATGCACCACGATGCATCTTAGGAAAAGTCACATCGTGTCGAGCTACGGAGCACATTTTCCACTTTGAAATGCATCCAGAGACGTGACTGCAAGGCTAGGTTGGTGGTCCCGAAGCTGAAAAACCATCACACTGGACAGGCGTTGCATTGCATGAGTGCTGATACTGGTGGCGTCCAATACTCCCCCGTCTTTGCAATCGTCGCCCGTGTGATCATTCAGCTGCGGGCTTGCTCGGATACTCGGCGCGCCCCCGTTCGAGACGCGATCTGTTTCCGCGTCAATTATCGCCTGCTGCGCGGTGTCCTTGTTTGCCGTTTCAAGACCATCAGTGAAGTGCGTACTCATTGCCATGACTATCGCTGAGCCGACTCGGAATCCAATGTGTAAACTCTATCAGAAGCAACAACTACATCCATCTTTGAACCGAGCTTCCATTCACCATGGAGGATGCGCAAGAAGCTCAGGTTGCTTTCTTGGGCGATTTGTTCAGCTTGAAGTTTGCGATACATGACGTTATAGAAGACGACTTCTTTTCCTCAGAGGAACGCGAAATCGACACGACGTCTCCTGAAGAAAGTGAGAAACAGAGTTCTGAGGATGATCTCGCCGAGCTCCTCGAGCTCATCAACAGCATCAAGCTTCTGCCGGGATCCTCAAAGATCAGCTATGCAACAGCGGGCATGTTCAACGGCGTCAATAGCCATCCCATCGACACGGGGGCCTTCTTTCAAGTACGCAAGCTCGATCAGCCCGCACACAACAGGCAGATAGTGGCCAAGTATCCCAGGCTCGACCCTGCGCGCAAAGGCGGCGGCATCTCACGCAAGAACATCGAGGCCATCAAATTGGAGATCCAAGCGCTCTCGCACCAGCCGATTCTTGATCATCCCAACGTTGTAGATCTACTGGGCTTCTCGTGGGCAAGGATGAGTGCCGCCGAAGAACGCAGCCAGATCGTACCGGTGTTACTGCTCGAGTTTGCGTCTCATGGCACCTTGCGAGACTACCTGTGCGATAACGCAACCTCGCCGGCAGAGCGACTTCGGCTTGCAAAAGGTCTAGGTGAAGGACTCGACGCGCTGCACAAGTCGGGGATTGTCCATGGAGACCTCAAGCTGGAAAACGCTCTAGTTTTCGACCATCCGGATGGCGGCGTCGTAGCGAAGCTAGCAGACTTTGGATCTGCCGTCCAGCTTCTGGAGGGCGGTTACCAGTACAGAGGCGGAACTCCTCCCTGGACTGCCCCGGAGTGGCGCAAGAGTATTGAGCCTTGGGAGCAGCATGCCGCTGACATTTACTCGTTTGGCCTCCTGATCTGGACGTTGTGCCTCGAAGGCAGGAACCCCTTTTCTGGCCTGTCCGCCAACGAAATAGAAGATCGAAAAACGCGCGATGTGACCGAGAGTGATGCTGTCAAATCTGTCGCCGACCACTATGAGTTTTTTCGACATGCCGTGGACGTTTCGACTGAGCTGGAGCAATTCGAACTCTACCTCACGTCCGTTATCTGCCCGCGCAAAGCATTCAGATACACATTGAGATTCGATACCCACCAGCGGGACTTGGGCGCGGCGTTGTCAGCCCTTTCAGTTGACGACTTCTACGGGTTAGTCCTCGACATCCTACTAACGGAATATGCTTGAGGTTGAATACTGACCGCTCATGACTAGGGCAAACGAAGACCAAGATGAGTCGACTTCAAAAGAGTCTCCTCTGATGTTGAAGGAATACAAGGTCTTTCTCCGATTTACCCAGGACGAAGAAATGGGGCGCATGGGCTGACGTGACGCAGAGCATCAATACATACACCAAACTCACGGATATGCCAGAGCAGGTACGGCAGTGTCTTTTCCGTAGTTTCACAGCTGCGGTCAACGAGAGTCAGGCGGCCCAGCTCGAAAAGGCTGGGATGTGCTTCCAACTCGGACTAGCCTGCCTAGATGGGTTCACAAGCTACTGGAGCATTCCTGCGGCCCTCACCTGGCTTGAGAAGGCGGCCACGCTGGGATCAGAGGCCGCGCGTGGTGTGATCTATCGCATTTTCTGTGCCACGGCACGATCCAAGCTTGAGCAGGATCCAGAACTAGCCAGTCGCTTTCGAGGCTTCTTAGCCACTGCGACTGCCATGGGCTCCAGCAGTGCCAGACAAAGTCTGCTCGAGCTTGATGTAGAGGCTGCTCGCATTTCCACGGAAGCCTTCAAGGGACGCTTCCTCCCAGAAGGCATGGGCGCGGCTACTACGCGACTTGACAAGGGGGTCCTCGAAGCTGTCATCCACCCGCGCTGGCAGGAGGGCCTTTCTCCAGGTCAAAAAAAAAAGTTTCAGGACCAGCGATCAAGAACATACCTCAACCGGAAGAAGGGAAGCATTCTGCACTTTGCCAGCGCATATGGTGTGAGCAGAGATGGTTTCGAGGCATTTCTTGACTTGGAGAAACCTGATGTAAACGCGAAGGATACTGATGGAAACACGCCGCTGTTGATGGCGATGCGCACAGGGCATGCACACCTGGCACTGGCACTACTTCGTTACGGAGCTGATCCCAACGCTTCGAATGACCTGGGACAGAGAGCCTGTCATTGGGCGATCCAGGTCGATGACCAAGGATCACTGGAAGAACTCATCTCTGTCATGCTTAGTAAAGGCGCAGATCTCGAGGCTGTTGCCAAGCGAACTGATGTCAGCGATGGCCAAGTCTACAGACAGGAGCAGTACGAGGGCACGCCCCTATTCTGGGCCGTGATTGAAGGCAGGGAAGATGTCATCTCGGCCTTGCTAAAGAACGGAGCTTGCCCTACCACTCCCGGCACATACATGAGCCCCTTTGATCTTGCTGTGGGGTACAACGACTGGCGAACCATCAGGCTCTTTTCTCAGCACGCTCAACATCCCATCACATCGCGGATTGTCGGGCCTACGCGGAGTGAGAATATAGGTGGCTCTCTCGATATAATTACGGAGGACTGGGTCTCTTTCGCCATGTGCTGCTTCCCGCGCCATTACCACATGATGAGGCATGGCCACTCTTATGGGGATGCGCTGAAACTCACCTTGGTAGAATTAAAGAGAGCCAAGCTTCTCGAAAACGACGTACTTGGACCACTTCGCAAAGCCCTTCAGAGTGGAGGGCCGATGATAGACGACTTATTATGGTATCAGAGCTGCAGAATGAGGCCCGTCTCGTCATGGGATCTTGCCGAGATGTTCATTGACGAGGCCTCTCACATCAGCCCGGATGCGGCGTCGATCCTGCTGGACGGGATTGCCGCCGATGAGGGAAATGGCCCCTTGCCAGATCTGACTCCTCTCCTCTTCACATACCCCAGCTCTCACCGTGCCGAGGTTGGAATATTTTCGAGATTGCTGGATTTGATCAACCCAGTGTCCGTCGACATTCCAGATGTACATGGAGTTACATCATATCGCCATGTTACCCCTTTCATGCTGGCAGTACTTGGTGGCGCCTTTGAATTCGCGACGGAGCTTCTGAAAAGAGGAGCGGACCCGAACTTCGAGACTGTTCAAGTCAACCTGTCTGGGACAGCGTCGGTCAAAGTCAACATCCTCCACCTTCTGATCCTGGTAAACGAGGATACGTCTCTGGCTGGACTCCGATATCTACTTGAGCCGCAACACCCGTTTCACGACCGCAAGCCGGACTTTGTTGTCTGTAAAGAATTGGGCTTGACAGCGCTTACATATGCCGCGAGGTGGGGGAACACAATCTTGTTCAATTACCTTTTCAATCATTTTCACTCCAGCGAAGCGTTGGATATGCGGGGACTTACTTACGGTGACACGGCACTGCATACAGCCGCCATTCATGGCAACTACGACGTGGCTGTGTCCCTGGTCAACCGAGGCGCAAAAATCAACGTCCTTGCACATACGAAGGACGGGAAGCTCATGTCGCCACTAGACTTTTGCTACGACACGGACACTTACAGCACAAATGTCCCCCGCACAAGCAGACATTGGGAAGGTCTCTGGGTCGCGCGGCTTCGTACAGCCAAGTTCCTTACTGGCAGGGGCGGAAGGATGCTGGTACGCCATGCCATGCCCATTGCGTTCCATTTCTTGGTGCACGCCTGCTCGGGCAACTGGCCAAGGCTGTTCGCGGAAGCGTTGGAGCAGACTCCCGAAGACCTCAAAACGCGGGAGTACCTGGACACATTGCTGTTCCGAGCTGCCGACTCTGGCAGCGAGGACGTCGTGAGTCTCCTTATCGACGCCGGCGCCTGCGTCAATACCCGGTCAGCGCGTGGACAGACGCCGCTCCATCGGGCGGCCCAGCGTGGGTACATGTATGTTGCCAGGGTGCTCGTCCAGCGCGGTGCAGACGTGAGGCTCCGTGATGACAAGAGCCGGACAGCAGCGGTGCAGGCCTTCACCCACAATCATGACAGCTTGGTTATGTATCTCCTGGCTCAGGGGTCGCCTCGGAACCTTCCGACCATGACCGAGGTGCCGTACACTGTGGATTATCTGGATCGACGAACGAACACGACTTCTACACAGTCGATCATCGCTACAGTATGCTTCTTGCATCCGCCCATGCCAGAGGAACCAGGGGCGAGTGCAGAGGAAGCTGACGGGACGAGCTACTGGGTGCTGAGGGTGCGCCGACCAGTTGAGGGCGGTGAGGGCGTTGATGAGGAGAATCCTTCGCTGGTCGCGAAGGGAAGCCGAGAGAAGGAGAGGTTGTTGATCAACATGAGAGGCGAAGGGTTCCAGGCGGCCTGGAAAGCGGCGCAAGAGCGAGCCAACGAGAGCGGGCCAGCATCGAGAAGGAACGAGCAGGATGATACTTCCGACAAGTAGTAGCGAGAGGAAGTCACATCGTATGTTGGAACGCTGTGGAGCCAAAATGGTCAACAGCCAATTTCATGACGGATTCATTCTCAACTTTGTTTGATTGACTTGCATCAAGGCAAGTAGGCAGCCTGTTTCCCCTGGAGTGGGTCGCGATCACGTTCTAAGTGACTTTCGGTGATGAAGTGACAGTTCCCTAGGTACATAAGTAGTAGGGAGGTGATGTGAGGCCCCTTGAAAAAGGAAAGCATAATCGGCATCAACAGCTCAGGTCCCTCGTCAGGATGGCAGGAGCAGGCCGTGGGAAGGAGGTGCACGGACCATTTGATTGGCGGCTGCCTTGCGCTTTCCTCCCTTGGAGGGTACCTAGGAGCCTAGCTTGCCTAGGTTCTGGTGGTCTCCAGGCCGCCTACCCGACCTGCCCAAGACTCCACGTGCTGAGACGTTCTGAGTTTGGGCGTTCTCGGGGCTGAGTCGGCCTTGCGCATGGTCATGGTAATGGTGATGAATGCATCGACTCGTCGACTTTTTTTTTCCTTTATTCGATTTCCTGGCCTACTCCTCTTTCCATCACTCCCAGTGGACCGCGCAATGTGGCCTCTTTGAAGCTTTTTTTCGTATTCATCACCTTTTCAGCATTTTATCGACGCCGGACTTTGCCCGAGTAGAAGCTTCCTCGCTTCATTGAGACCCCTGTCTAATTCCGGTTAGGACGTGCGCGTCCCCGTGGCTTGGCTTGGCCTTCACCAACTCGACTTCGCCCCCCGTTTCGGTCAGTAGGGCGTTCTCATTCTTGTCTTCCCTTTCCCATCGCCCATTCTGCAGCGCCCATCCCACTCCCCCGCCCTTCTCTTGCGATACCGATACGCCCAGCAGGGAAGAAATACCGAGCGAAT